GTTTTTGGGCGAGAAATCATAGGGTCGGGGGCCCCAAGAACAGAGCATCCGCGGGAAGGGGGGGGGGGGGCGATGTGGGTGGTAGTGGTCGATTTTGGGCGAGAAATCGTGGGGCCGAGGGTTCGCAGAACAGAGCCCAAAGGCTTGGGGATGTCGAGGGGGGGTGGAGGCCAGGTGGGGGGTATCGGTCGAGTTTGGGCGAGAAATCGCGGGGCCAGAGGTCCCAAGAACAGAGCCCGAAGGCCTGGGGATGTCGAGGGGGGGTGGGGGCGAGGTGGGGGGTATCGGTCGATTTTGGGCGAGAAATCGTGGGGTCGGGGGTCCCAAGAACAGAGCCCAAAGGCCTGGGGATGTCGAGGGGGGGTGGAGGCGAGGTGGGGGGGTGATGGGGGTGGGGGGGGGTCCAAAGAACAGGGGCCAGGTGAGCGGCGGGGAGGAGGGCGTTGGGTGTTTTGGGTGAGAAATCGTCGGTGGAAGGTGCTAAGAACAGAGGCTACCTTTGATGGAACGGACGGGGCCAGGTGGGGGGGCGGGAAGGGGGGCGATGGTCAGCTTTGGGTGACGAATCTTGGGGTGTGGGGCGTGGTGGGCCACAGCGGCTCGACGGGGTGGGGGTGCCAGGGCGCGAAGATGGATATCGCTCGCTGTTGGGCGAGAGATGTTGGGTGTGTGGCTAAACGGGGCCACTTTCCCGCACACGCCTCTGGGGTCGGCGGAGTTAAAGAGACAAGCCAACACCAGTAAACTGAGATGCCTCTGGGAGCCTCTTTGGGTCCCCGTGGTCTATCGGCTATCTTTGAGCTCTTTCGGCCCTGAGGGTCATCCGCCTCCCCTGTGTCATAACTCTTGATTCATCTCTTGGGTTCCCATGCGTGCTCTGTCTCTCCTACGCGCCAGGTTTCACTATGGCTACGGCCTCACCCGCTTGGCCTTGGCCGGACTTGGACGGTGGTCCGCAGAGCCCCCCTCCTCTTCCTCCTCCTCCCCCTCCTCCTCGTGGTGACCACTCGGCCGCTCGACCTGCTCGCCCGAGCGCAGCTAAGGAGAGTTCGGGGGGCCGGCTTCTGGAGGCCTCGGGGGCCGGCTCGTGCGCACCGGAGGTAGGGCGGCCGACAACGCGGGCGCGGGGCAGGTGTCGAGCGAGCAGCGGCGAAGCGTCCCAGCTTTCCTATTGGCCCCCCGTGGTCTGCGCGAAATGTTCTCAGAACAAGTTTGGCGTTGTTCTTGGATTCTTGTTGGGTTCTAAGAGAATTTCGTGGTAGGCCCAGAGGAATGCCGGGACGGTCGTCGGTCCCTGCTCAAAGGTGGGAATCCACCTCGCGCTGGACCACCCGCAGATCACGAGGCTGCTGGACGTCTACGAGGCATCGTCGGGGATTAGAATCAGGTCGGGCATGTCTTCCAATAGGCGGATTTCGAAAAAAGTAAGCACAGTCTGAACATACGCGTTGTATGATAACAATAGACGGAACATTGTCACCATATCACTATTCTTCTTGAGACATGCCCGACTTCAGGGTAGAGGACTCCAGAGGCCTCCCAGAACCAGAGCAGGCGGCGCTAGAGGATCGCGCCGCACCGCCGATGCATCTCTGGCTCGGCGCGACCTGGCGCCCGATTTGCTCCACCCCACCGTCGCGGATACATCGCCGATGCGTCGCCGATGCATCGGCGATGCGGTACGGTCTTCCAACCCCATCTGCTCCGGCCCTGTTTGGCAGGCCTCCAGGGGGGATGGGGGGGGGGGAACTGGAGGATCCGCCCCGCAGCACATGTTCAAAGACACCCTCCACTGAATTATTCCTGGGCCTCAGGAGGGGGTGGCGGTGTATACTTCACCACTGGGAACCAGCGACTTTCTGCACCGTCGCCCTCCCTGAGGGTACGTGCAAAGTTCGTGGGGGGGCGTCTGCGTATTTATATATACATATAACGGCGCACCGGGTCCGGGGGCCCGGGGCCGGGACCTCGACCCCAAATGTGCGACCCGGGGGGCCCGGAGGCTCGTCGGGGCTTGCCGGAGGCCTCCCCGGTCAGACAAGACGGCCCCAGAAGCGCCCAAGACGGCCCAAGAAACTTCCAAGAGGCCTCCAAGAGGGCTCCGAGATGCTGAAGATGGCCTCCAGACGTCCAATGACGCCCCCAAGAGGCCCCAAGAAGCCTCCAACATGCGTCCCAAGAGGGCCCCTAGACGCAAAAATTGGCCCATTCCCTTCGTAAAACGTACATTTTTCAACAAAGTTGCTTTTTGGGCTTTCCGACGTTACAGGACGGCCCACGAGGCGCCCAAGACCGCCCCAAGACGGCCCAAGAAGCTTCCAAGAGGGCCCCAGGACAGCCCAAGAGGGCCCCAAGACGGCCCAAGAGGCGCCCAAGATGGCCCAAGAGGGGCCCAAGACGGGCCCAAGAGGGGGCCCAGAGGGGGACCACGAACCGCAAGCTCGAGCCTTCCGCCCCAAGAGGCCGCCAGGAAGGCCCCTCAAGAGGCCCCAGGAGACCCCCAAGAGGCCCACAGGAGGCCCCGAGAAGCCCCAAATCGGCCCCCAAAATGCTTCGAACCTGCTTCCAGGAGGCCCCCGACAGGTTCAGAGGCTCCCGAGAAGCTACGTCAAACTCCCAGCGAGCGGCCGGACGAGGCCCCCCAAAAAATCCCAAGAGGGTTCCAGTATTTGAATCCTTCAGCGCTCTCTGGCCTTCTTCCCCCTGCCCCCTTCCCTGCGACTTTCGTTGACTCAAGCTCGCCTCCTCTCCATTTCCTCTCTCTGCCTCTCTCTCGCTCTGTCTTCTTCTCTCTCTCTCTCTCTCTCCATCTCTCTCTCTCTCTCTCTCTCCTTCGCTCTCTGTCTGTCTGTCTCTCTCTCTCCCTCTCTTTCTCTCTCTTTCTCTTTCTTCCTTTCAGATTCCGTGTCCTTGCGACCTTCTGCAGTCCCCGACGTCGCCACGGCTGGATTCGCTCGAGCGTGTCTTGTGATGTGCGGCGGTGCGAAGCCCGTCCCACTGATCAAGGCACAGGTACGAAATGATGGGTCCATCATTTCTTGCCTTCCCATGTGCGTTTTCCCAATCGATTCCTGGGCCCTAGGTCGCAAAAATTACGACGTCGGAGGTCTGGGGAGGCGGGAAGCACGACCTGGACCTCCGACGTCTTGGAAAAATCACGACGGCGGTTTCGGTCAATTTTCGTCCTCCGGGGCCCCTCGCAGGGTCCCGGGACCGTCAGAAAACGACTCAGGATGAAAAAAAAACACATCCCCAAGAAGTCGTCGAGAGGTCCAGGGGCCGCGCGCAGAAAGCATCACGACATCGGACGTCCAGAGAGGAGGTAGGAACACGAGGAGGAGGGAGCCCAGACCTCCTGGCGACGCAACACCAAAGACAACAACAGCTTCCCCGCGACTTCCCCCAGAGAACTACAGAAATTCCTTTCGTATTCCGGCCAGAAGCATCCAGAAACGATGTACATTAGCCCTGGCGGGGGGAATGATAGCGATGGTGATGTTCATGATGACCACGGTGACGATCCTGGCTAGAACCTAAGCGCGCGCGAAGCGCGCGCGTGGTTCTAGTATATATATATATATGTATACATATATATATACATATATGTATATTTATATATTTGTATATACATATGTATATGTATGCATGTATGTATGTATATATATATATGTATATATAGATTCATGGCGTAGAGGAGCGCACCAGATCTGTTGTGACCCTTATCTTGCTGTTTATTGGTGTGCGTGTGTGCGTGTGTGTGTGAGTGTGTGTGTGTGTGTGTGTGTGAGTGTGTGTGTGTGTGAGTGCGTGCGTGCGTGTGTGTGCGTGTGTGTACGCGTGTGTGTGTGTGTGCATGTGCATGTGCATGTGCATGTGCATGTGCATGTGCATGTGCATGTGCATGTGCATGTGCGTGCGCGTGTGTGTGCGCGTGTGTGTGAGTGTGTGTATGCGTGTGTCTGTGCGTGCGTGTGTGCGTGCGTGGGTGCGTGTGTGGGTGCGTGTGTCTGTGTGTGTGTGGGTGTGCGTGTGCGTGTGTGTGCGTGTGTGTGTGTTTGTGTGTGTGTGTTTGTGTGTGGTGTGAGTGTGTGCGTGGTGCGTGTGCGTGTGTCGGTGCGTTGCATATGTGTGCGAGTGTGTGTGTGGTGTGTGTGTGTGTGTGTGTGTGTGTGTGTGTGGTGTGTGTGTGTGGGCGTGCGTGTGTGTGTGTGTGTATATATTTCCGTTGTGTGTGTGTGTGTGTGTGTGTGTGTGTGCGTGTGTGTTGTGTGTGTGTGTGTGTGTTGCCCGTAACCCCTGTGGCTCAAGCCGCTCAGACTCAAAGGAGCCGCAGCGGCGCTCCCTCGAGGCCAGAGGTTCGCCCTGACTTCCGGGCGCGGACGAGGCCCCCTCCCGGGTCGCGTGGACGGGGCCCCCTCCCGGGTCGCGTGGACGGGGCCCCCTCTTGGGTCGCGTGGAGATCCCCGCGGGCCTGGCAGCCGCAGCATCGCGCCGCCGAGTTCGGGCCCGCCGGCGCCCGCGGGCCCCCGAGGCGCCCCCGTTGACGCCGCGGCGCTGCCGGCGTTGCCGGCTCGCGGGCGCCGCTGGCGCGACCGACTCCCGCGCCGCCAGCGCCGCCCGCCGCTGGGCCGCGCCGCGGATGGCGCCGCGTCAGCACGCGGCATCGGCCCTCTTGGCGCGCCGCATCATGCCTGCCGCCGCCGCGTGGCCGCCGCACTGGTCGGCTCCGAACCTCGAGCGCCCCGCGGGCGCTCCGTGTGCGGCGGGTGGGTCCGCCGACGTTTCGCCTTCCTCCGCCTTCCAGTCCTCCTCCTCCTCCTCCCCGCCTCCTCGTTCCTCCTCCTCTTTCTCTTCCTGCTGCTCCTCCTCCTCTACCTCCCCTCCTCTCCTCCTCCTCCTCCTCCTCCTCCTCACTCCTCCTCCTCCTCCTCTCTTCTTTCCTCATTCCTCCTCCTCTCCTCCTCCTAGTTCTTCTTTCTCTTCCTGCTGCTCCTCCTCCTCCTCCTCCTCCTCCTGCTCCTCCTCCTCCTCCTCTCGCTATGTCTCCCAATGACACCCCCAAGACATGCCAGAGTGCCAACATTTCGGGGACGAGAGGTTTACCCCTCAGGACGGCTCCCACGGCCCCACGAGCCAGGCAAGAGGCACTCAGGTGGCCCCCACGACGGTCCGACGGCACTCCAAGGCAGTAGGGGTGTGGCAGTTCCCAGGATCCCCCTGGGACCCCCCTTTGAGTTTTCTTCTTGCTGGTGTTTTGGGGGGGGGTCTTCGCACCCCCCAGGGCCCCACCCAAAATCCCTCTTAGGTTAAATCGGGCCTGTCCCCCTACAGGTGGATTTTCGACGAAAAGTAGTCTGGGGACTATTTTTTAAGTATTGTTTGGCCTTTTTGGGGCATTTTAAGGGTATTCTTTAGTTTTCGTGCGCAATCCCCCTGTATGGGGGACACGCCCGACATAATCTTAGTTATCAGGAGGTTTTTGGACGGTTTCTCCAGCTTCCCCAGGACCCCCCCCCCCGGGATTCTTCTTAGGCGGGTTTTTGGGGGCACCTTGAAGGTTGGCCCGCGGGTGTTTTCGGGGGGATTCTCCGCCCCCTCAGGACCCCGCCCCAAAACCCTCCTTGAGGCGTTTTTGCCAGGGGTTGTGGGAGGGATTCTCCGGTAACCCCAGGACCCCTTCCAAAAACCCTTCTTGAGGGGGCTTCTATGGGGGGTTCACCAGGCCGTTTTGGGTTATTTTCGGAGGCATGTGGGGGGGCTGGTAGTGGAATGAAGGCTGGGAAGCCGTCATACCCTAAGAGGGAGAGGATAGAGAAGAAAACAGAGGAGAAGGAGGAGGAGGCGGAGGAGGAAGCGGAGGAGGAAGCGGAGGAGGAAGCGGAGTAGGAGGAGAAGGAGGAGGAGGAGGAGGAGGATGAGGATGAGGATGAGGATGGGGATGTTGATGAGGATGATGATGCTGATGATGATGATGCTGATGATGATGATGCTGAGGCTGATGCTGATGCTGGTGCTGATGCTGATGCTGGTGCTGATGCTGATGCTGATGATTCTGGTGACGCTGATGATGCTGATGATGCTGATGATGCCGATGATGATGATGCTGATGCTGATGCTGATGCTGATGATCATGTTGATCATGTTGATGATGATGATGATGATGACGATGATGATGATGATGATGATGATGCTGACGATGATGATTATGCTGATGATGATGGTGATGATGATGGTGATGCAGCTGCTGCTGCTGCTGATGATGATGATGACGATGATGCTGATGCTGATACTGATGCTGATGATTATGTTGATGATGATGATGATGCTGATATTGATGCTGCTGATGATGATGATGATAACGATG